ACCTAAATGTGCTCCTTCCGGACTTAGTCGCCCAACTTGGGCAATCGTATCACCCACCAGGATTACTATAACCATCCTTCTTGCCGACCGGAGCAGTCGTGACAGATCTTGATAAAACTGGTCTTTCTCAGTCGTAGAACTGTTGGGACGTATGCTGATACGACAAACAGACACCGTTTACCGCAACGACCTGCGTTAATCTTAACTGAGCCAGACAACCGCACAGCGCAAAGGCGACTGTTAACTGGGATCCAGTCCAGTGAGACGCTTTCAGCCTTGGGGCTGAGTGCAACTCCTACACCGTAGGTACCACGAGTAATTGCGTCAGGATCACCGGATGCCCGAATAGTGAAATGTGGAGCATCTGGGCTTGCACTAAGTGGCTTGAGGAGCACGACTGAAGTGAGGTATTGCATGTATGTTTAGGAGAAACAACACACATCGATGGAGGGAAAGTAAGGTTCCAGCAAGGGATGCCTGTCGCCCAATTTGACATAGAGTAAGGACATTAAAGGCTGCAACGTGGACCAAGTCTTTTGAGGTCAGATGATTATTTTGGTTTATTTTAATGGGCAATGGTTGAGACAAGGAGCAGTGGCTCGCGGGTTGACAGTCATCATCATCATCATCATCAACGACAACATGACGTCAGTGCTCAACACCAATGCTTCACTGCCGTACAGCCATGACTTATTTGAAAGCCTTATTGTAAAGAAAAGAATAAAGGTGGATGGGGAAGGGACTTAGTGCTAGCTTAACACAATCATTCCGAGGTGCCTACACCTCCAGACATTCACTCAGGCAATCTGGACAGAAACTGACAACAAGAACGCCACTGACATCGGTTGGCAGCCATATCTTGTAGTGTCTCCAACCAGGCACAGTGAGGATCACGCGGTCCCCATCCTGGAAGGCGAGTAGCACCGACATGCTGTTCCGTCTTTCTCGCATACTGTCTCACTGACACCGACCTCCTTTTGACTCGTTGATCGAATCAATTGAAACAGGGCGCGGCTGTTGCCTGCGCCAAAAGCCTTCTCCATCTCCTGGGCCTTCAAAACCCACCAGCGTTCTCTGTCATTCTTAAAGCTCCTGATTATCGGGGATCTGCGTGCCCATCATAGTCGCTAGTTTCTGGTATGACCTTTCTGGCAGCAATAAGATTTGCTGATCTCCAAGATATCCAGTGTTCATTGGGTCGAGTTAGAGGGCCTGGACAAACAGGTCTGAAGGCTCACAGCATTGCTTCTTTAACTCGCCCCCATTCATCCTCCAAGCGTTCTTGGTCCTCTACATGACTTGAGTTTCTCGTAGCTTTCAGCCGGATCACCTCGGTACTCTTCAGCTACGGATATTTATCGAAGTTGAACGGAGCTTCTCTCTTTCGGCACGCGTAGTGCTGGCGGAAAACAAAGTGCTAAGCGGGCCCGCACGATGGCGTGATCAGAGTCAAGTTGCGTACCCCAGAAGGAACGACAATCGTTGACTGAGGCTCTGCATCGGCAACCGATGGCCACAGGGTCAATGGAGCCCACGACTATTTTGTGGTAGGTGGCCTCCAAGTAACTCCGTGTGTGCGTTCGTGCTGGAAGTTCGTACTGGCCAGGAACAGACGATGATGTGTACAAAACTAAAGAAGCCAATCTCCATTATCCGCACGCACAGCATCGACTTCAAATCGACCACCTAAATGTGCTCCTTCCGGACTTAGTCGCCCAACTTGGGCAATCGTATCACCCACCAGGATTACTATAACCATCCTTCTTGCCGACCGGAGCAGTCGTGACAGATCTTGATAAAACTGGTCTTTCTCAGTCGTAGAACTGTTGGGACGTATGCTGATACGACAAACAGACACCGTTTACCGCAACGACCTGCGTTAATCTTAACTGAGCCAGACAACCGCACAGCGCAAAGGCGACTGTTAACTGGGATCCAGTCCAGTGAGACGCTTTCAGCCTTGGGGCTGAGTGCAACTCCTACACCGTAGGTACCACGAGTAATTGCGTCAGGATCACCGGATGCCCGAATAGTGAAATGTGGAGCATCTGGGCTTGCACTAAGTGGCTTGAGGAGCACGACTGAAGTGAGGTATTGCATGTATGTTTAGGAGAAACAACACACATCGATGGAGGGAAAGTAAGGTTCCAGCAAGGGATGCCTGTCGCCCAATTTGACATAGAGTAAGGACATTAAAGGCTGCAACGTGGACCAAGTCTTTTGAGGTCAGATGATTATTTTGGTTTATTTTAATGGGCAATGGTTGAGACAAGGAGCAGTGGCTCGCGGGTTGACAGTCATCATCATCATCATCATCAACGACAACATGACGTCAGTGCTCAACACCAATGCTTCACTGCCGTACAGCCATGACTTATTTGAAAGCCTTATTGTAAAGAAAAGAATAAAGGTGGATGGGGGAG